TGGAAAGTGAAACTATTATTTCTAAACAGCTCTTTCGATATATGTTGCTGCAGCTTATTTTTTTGGGTTTTAAAAAAGGAAAAGGATTATTTTCCGAAACTTCAACCATCGAAATAAAACTAAGTATGGAATTTTTATTTTTTCCCTTGATTATTAAATTTGTAGGCAAAATATATGAATACGAGAGGTTTCTGACTAATCGGACTCTTCAGTCCGATTATGCAGTACTTTTCAGGGTGAACTTTATACACTTCAGCAGGTTCTCTACTTATTTAGCTTTTTTTTAACATTTTGAACATAAAAATTGGTTTATTTAGCTATCCTTAAAAAATCGACATATGCAATCGCGGGGGCTTTTTTCAGACCTATAAAAGAAGAACAGTATATAGTAAATTATTTTGTTATATCTCAAAGGAATTAGGCATCGTTTTCGATGAAAGCTTCCTCTGATAGCGCCATCACACCAACGTCTCACTGATAACATCATCATGTTTCAACCAATTCCCACAAAACTGTATACGAATCACTCCATCCATCAGTGCTGGATCGTAGAAATACTTCCATATTCCAACTTACGCTTTTCCAGTCTTATGAAAAGAATCAATTATTTTTTGGAGAAAAGTAGCAGCATAACTTTGCCAGATGTCATAGAGGTCCGTTTCGAAAATATGTGCTCTTTTCTCCATCATATCCATATGATACATACTTGGTTAGAGAAATGTACTTGCCCCACTGTACATACAAATACACTTCGATTTTCCAACTTTTATATCAATCATATGCATTTTATGACCACCAAGCGCAGTCTCGCACTTTCATTTCAATATCTAAAATTATATTCTGTCTTTGTCTGTTTCAGGCGAAAAAACATTCGGGCAAGAGCATACCGTCTTGGCTGCTGTTCGATAAAAAACAAGGGGTCTTCTGGGGAGTACCGCTTGTCCAAGACGTCGGTGAAGTGCAGCTAACAGTGAAAGCAACTGGCGATAAGAAGAGTTCTGAAGAGATCAAAATAAATGTGGTGGAACCGTCAGAAGAGGCACCGGGAGTCGGAAAGTGCCAAGCGAACGAAGATAACACGATTCTAACTTTACTATTGGACAAGAGCATACGATCCATCAAACCGAAACAGAGAGTTATAGCTATCAATAATATTGCAAAATTCTTTGGCTTGCCATATGTAAGTAAATATCTATGTTTAATAGCTCTTATCAAATTTTTACGACCTTTTTGTAAATGTTACAGTTTGATATTTGAAATTGTTGTCTGGTAGTGCTCATCCATTCGTACTTTCGATTAAATTCAATGAAGCTCAGAAAGTTAACTATAGTTGATTTGATCAAATTGTACTGTGAAAAAATCTATAACAGACCCTTGAAGGAGTCTTCGTACCCCAAGTTTACTTGTCTATCATAAAGTAGAATATTCGCGGAGTCATTTGAAATGAACTTTTGTCAAATCAAACTTGAACCAGTCAGAACCTTCTAGTGCCAAAGTATAATAATGACTGGAATCAGAACTTGAACCAGAATAGAATACTACCTATTGCATATAATTTATAAAATGAAGATTATTCAAAATAATATTTTCGTCATTGTCAGTGTGCTTTGAAACTTTATTCAAACGAAACGAAGTGCGATCACATAAATATGATGCATTTCAACTCCAAAGTCAAAATTGTTTCACAGTAATCCTCGTCGGTAGGTACATCGTAGTTCATCAGTTCATCATATGTATTCCACAAAAATACTGGTTACCGATCGTCAAAAACTCAGGCACCAATCATCAATCCAACAGCACCATCGTATTCAGTGACCTTGAAGAGTCCCCCCAAAAAACATTTAAAAAATGCCTTCAAAGCGAATGAGTGTAGCAAAGTCGAATTCTAGCGAGTACCTAATACAACCCGAAACGCCAGATAGGCCCTTCACTGGAAAAACTGTCCTGTCTTACGTTATAATTGTTAGAGAAACATCCCTTGAAACCGTGTATCGGTCTATTTTGGAACCACGAAAAGAAGTGCTAGAATCCGTCTTTCTGAACACTAGAGAAATAGTCGCCTCGGACATACCGACAAATCAACAGCAGCCAAACATTCACATAGGGAAGGCGCTCAAGAAAGAGACCCACGGCCTAGTATTATCACTCATATAGAGAGACAGAAATTAAATAACACAGACAATTTGAATTGAAATCACCCTCAATCAACAATTCACGAATTTACAGAGCCATGCTTTCCACTTGGGAAATAAAAGCGGAGACCTGAACCCAGAACAATGTAGCATACTCCGTGAGGACAACGAGAGCACATTCTTCATTGCTCGGTCGCATTTGATTATGTCTACTAGTTCACATATTCTTTGTTTGAAATAATAAAATCAGATGAAAAATGTCGATAATCTTCATATTTCACATGTCTTATTTGACATTTTTTTGGAGAGAGAGGCTAGATTGACTGCATATAGACTTGTGTATATCGCAAATTCCACAAAGCAATCTAATGCACAGTACTCTAGACTGCTGGATGACACTAGAAGTCGCAGCATTCTGGGAATGACCTCAACTACGAACTGCCTTATACAGTACTTTTCCCGAGTAGAGAGGATTTGATCCTCCGGGAAAAGGAAATTTTAAGGCAGATAGTTGCTGGTTCACAGATGGATCAAAAATACCTTCAGGCTCTGGTGCAGGTGTTTTCAGTTGCAGACCCAAGATAGAGATATCAACCTGCCTAGGGACCTATGCGACTGTATTTCAAGCGGAAATATATACTATTGAATTGTGTGCGGAGAGATTGTTAGAATCCAACCTCATACACAAGTCTATAAAAATTTTCTTGGGCAGTCAAGCGGCGTTGGAAGCTCTTGGCTCCTACCGAGCAACGTCTGAGTTGGTAGCAAATTGCCAAAAACGACTCTCCTCAATAAGAAGACAACAAATTGTCTCTGGTCTGGATTCCTGGCCACACTGGCCTGGAAGGCAATGAGACTGCTGACTCTCTTGCAAAGGAGGGTGCTGCAAGTAGCTTCATCGGACCAGAACGTGTCATTGACATATTGCTTTAGGTTTTGCCAAACAAACATTGAACACCTGGATGGCAAGAAGATTTAAAGACTTCTGGCAAAATCTTCCAGGATTGGCTCACTCCAAAGCGTTCATTCACCCTTCGAAGCTTTAAACCAAACAGTTGTTGGACTTCAGTAGGGATGAACTACGATGTCTAACAGGCCTCCTCCCAGGTCACTGTCATCTGAATCATCATATGCAGAGACTCGGACTGTCGGAAAGATTACTCTCCATATAAACTAATCGGATTCGTAACCTAACCTAATCTAACCTATGTTTTACTTCAAATCGAATATCTGGAAAAAAATTCAGAAAAATGTGTGTGAAATTATCTGTTGAATTTTTTGGAATGCAGATAACTTTAAAGCTCCTATAAATGTTCTAAATATCTTCTCCCCCATATGTATACTTCAGTAATGATGAAATACATGTTCTAAAAATATGTAAGGAGTTGTGGGATAGCAAAGTTTATATCAACTTCCAGTATAATCAGAATAGAGTTCGATCCGAATTTATATAAACGAATGTTCTTTTTTCAAGTCAATTTTCCACATTTGTTTTTTTCATCCAATTTCTCACCCTTTTGACTTTTCCAGAGTGCCTTTACGTTGAAACCTCAAATAGAAAAAGATGACATAACTGATAGTTCTGTAGTGCTAGCTGGTCCAGGTAATCTACAGTCGAAGACTTCCAAAGTGATTTCACTCCTTCAGGTGGCAGTTGGATGCGATGGTAGACTCTGGCTATCAACTGCCTCTATGGTGCATCAGCTCAAACAACAGGCCAGAGACGGCACCATTGCGGAAGTATTACGCTTGCCACTCATTGGCTGGAGAATCAAGACTGAAACTAAGCCAATTGTCAGATCTAAGCGACAAATTACTGGTGAAATAGATGACTATGGTAAGTTCCATGAATTAATAAAGCAATTTTGGAAACTGAGTGAATGCTCCCATTTATAAGTGCCCTCCCAAGTCCATTCATTTATGGCATTGCCTATTTTCACAAGATAATTAACAAATTCACACTTACTTATGTCAGCTAGATGTAAGAAAAAATATTTAAAAAAGACAAGCAAAAATAAAAGAATCAATCACAATATCTTCACAGTCTTTTTAAATGAATCCAAAGAAGAATTGAAAAGTTCTAAATCCACATTGTTAGTGTTAGCAAATCTCAAAATTCTACCTATAGACACATTCTGGCCATAATTAGGTAAAAAAAAGAAGCATAGCCCACTGACTAATAAGAAAATAATTAGTTAGATGAAAGGGTACTTTGAAATTTTCTGTATTTTTTCTTCTCTTTGGATTCACATTTAAAGTTATAATTTCAACAAGTTCCGGGGTCTATCCCCAATTGCAATAAGTTTATATCACACCAGCGTACAAAGTTAGATAAACCGAACTGTTATAATTCAGTATCAAATGAGTCATGAATGACTGTACATCTTCAGATAATCAGCAAATACAAGAAATTCACTAAAGAGAATAACATCATTCAAGTCATTTACAAATGGACCATTACTCATTTAGGACCATTACTTTTCAGACCAAAAAGTAATGGTCCTAAATGAGATCCCTGCGGTACACCAAATGGAACTGTGATTGTGGAAGATATTGAGTTACCATATTTTACATATTGGACTCTGCAAGATAATTTCATATCCATTTCTGAATGTCTTTCTGAATACCCAAGGGTTCAGTTTATGCAACAACAACATTTACTCGGTCAAATGCCTTTGATAAATCTGTGTAAATAGAATCAACCTGGTGTCTATTTTCGGAGGCATTTATTATGTAGTGTTGATAAATGAGCAGATTTGTACTGGTAGATATACCACGACTGAATCCATGTTGCTGATTTATGATTATATGTCTACAATCTCATGATAGTTTTTTAGTCATTAGACTATCTAACAATTTAGATAATTCAGATTGATGGAAAACTGCTCGATAATTTTCAATGATCCACTTTTATAAATAGGTTTCAGAAAACTGTTTTTCCAATAATCTGGAAAGATGGAAGATTTCAAAGAAATGTTGAATATCATGTGAATGAGTTTAGCCAGGGTAAATATGCATTTTTTGATTAAAAATATCAGGATTCCATCGGGACCTGCAGACAACTTCCGGGGTAATGGCATGATTTCTTTAACACAACGCTATAACTGCATATATCTACTGTCTTACTGAATTTATATTCTGGAATTTGGTTAACTGTTTCATCACTATATAGAAATGAGAAAAAGTTTGCAAAAAGATTTACAATATCATTGCATTTTTTAGGGAAACATAGTAGTCCAGAACTGTATAAACAACATTGTAAAAATTGTAACTGTAAAATTTAAATCCTCATTATTCATATTTCCAAATCCCAGTCAATTTTCGCCAAAAAATTGTTCATTCCCATATAATCTCTGTTTAGGAAATCATAAAAGTATTCCTCATATTTTAGATATTTGTTTGTATAATGTTTCAAATCAAAACAAACTGCCATAATGTATTTTGAAAAATTGGGTCCCATGGATTTTGAACAGATATATTAAGAAATGATGAGAATATTAAATCTGAGTAAACATTTCTTGAATTTGAAATATTATTGATTTGATATAAATTATGCGAACTAAATGAGTGTAATTAAAGTTAGTGCAGGTGAGTTTTCTGGACAATCAACATTCAGACCAAGATCTTCAACCAAAGTACATCAGGAACATTGTAGTCGCCACAAAGTATTATCTTGCTAGAAGGGTATTTTTCTAAAATATAATCAATGGCAGCAGTATTTTCCATATAATTATCTACTACAGTACAAGAAGAAATATATACACCTCCGATAACAATTGTTGAAGCCCCTATTAACAATTTAACATACATTGCTAGGAGAAATTTCGGTCAACTTGTGCTGGAATGTTAACTTAATGACTGCTTATGATGCACTGTTTGGAACCTTTGGTGTAGTAATGAATATTACTGGAGTTTTTTCCAACACCAAATCGTTATTTCTAACACCTCGACACGTGTTTCAATCACCAAGTGATCATCTTCAAAGAGGAAGATTAAAACTGATTAAAAAGATTGAATCTTCCTCTTTGAAGATGATCACTTGGTGATCGAAACACGTGTCGAGGTGTTAAAAGTAACGATTTGGTGTTGGAAAAAACTCCAGTAATATTCATTTAATGACTGCTATCTGACAAATCAGACAAACGTTTTGAGTCCTGTATCATTACACTCTCTATATGACAATTATTGACTTCATCTTATGTGATTTTTATCTCTGAATTTTTCGTAAATGAATGTGAAAATTTTAGAATAGTGACTACCGAGGAAGCTGCTGTGTTAAAGAAACGTGTCTATAAATTAAAATGTTTGTGAAAATTGTGTAATTATTATCATGGATAATAGTGACTAGATTCAAAACAAGCACCACTCCCAAACACCAAAACAGAAACACTCTTCTCAACAGGCGTTTCACCAACTAAGTTGGCGTCATCAAGAAATGAACTAGACTGTCTAGTCGTAGAGAAAACTTCTGAGTAATTGGTTATAAAACTTCAGCTGTCAATTTTTTGCTAAAAGAAGTAAGTTGTGACTATTTTTTATATAAACTTTCATGGAAATTAAAAACACACACATGATACAACCTATGAAAGAATGAAGAATAACATACAGTTAAATTGGATATGAATACGTATTTCAGAAAACAAGATGAGTATTTACAATGTAGAAAACACTTATTATCTCAATATATTCATATAACAATTTTTACTTCCTTATGATATTTTCAGCTAGGTCAGTAGGGCCAATTATCTATTTTTTTCATTTTTACCTCATTCTCGATTTTTATAATGTCTTCCAATAATTTGATATTACAGGCAGTGGCGACTATAACGATGATGATGATTACTATGATGATTATGAAGAGTATGATGTAGATGGTTTAGAAGATATAGAGAAAAGTCCTCCATCTACCAAAACTCCTGTAACATCAACGACTCTACAAACCACTAGTGGCACTACCGAAACTACAACTCATCCTCACAGGCACCATCATGGAGACAAAAATAAATCGAACCCGAATGTAAGTAGTTGATGATACTCGAATAGACGATCAATTATTACATATTAGTAATGTACGTGATAATAAAATAGGAAAGATATTAATTTCAGAATATTTGTTTATATTCATTTATATTTTTCCATTGCAGATGCACTATCAAACAACTAACAACAATCATACATACGAAGAAAGAATCCCTGTAACCAGTTCTTCTACAAGCCATAGAACTGAACCAACTACTACTACTACTACAACTTCAACCTCGACAACCACTCCTCAGCCACCATCCATTGGCGTAACCAAAGCAATCAAACCTGATGATGTTCTCTCTTACGGAGATGATAACTATGACTATGGCGAATATGACGATGAAGATGATATCGACGATGCAGTGGAAAGTGAAACTATTGTACCGGATCAAACTGGAAGGAGTAAGCAAACTTTTGTTCCTCCATTTGAAGACACCGAAAGTATGACAACTGAAGAGACTACTATAAAAACTACTGCAAAGGAAATATCACCCGAAACCCAACCCACCATTTGGAATAGTACAACTAGTACAAGTACAACAACAACTCCTACTACTACTACTGCTACCACTACCACTACCACCACGACAACTACTACACCTCCAAGTACTATTTCTATCAGCACCACTACCACAGCAACTCCAACAGAAGCTCCAACTACTTTCCAGATTGTTGTTGAAAATGATCCACAGGTTAGTGCTTGAATGAAATCTTATGTTATCACATGGTTAATCACCTATAACTGCTCAATATATGAATTCCAAACTTTTGAAGCATAAGACCATTTCAGAAGTGTATACAAGGGAGAGTAATGGAGGTTATTCCCCCCCCAAAAACACGTTTGGTTTTACGTTTTTATGCAAGAAATTTGTGAAAATATTCGAATTTCATATTCCAATGTACTGATAATCAAACATGGATTATGAATCTCCCTCAAAAATAATTCATCCCCTACCAGGATAAGAAGTTTCATACACCACCGACCCTTTTGCTACCAAAGCATTAACTGTTCAATTAATTGTGAAAAAATATTTTGAGCTTCTTTTTCATCATTTAACAAAAAATGTGGAAAACCTCCTATGAAATAAAGAAAGTAACTACAATAAAAACTCTTTATGAGGATATGCATGTCATATACAGACGTTTCTTTCTGAAACTGATAAAATTTCGGCAACTCTCAAAAGTCGAAACTTGTGCGAGAAACTTGTACGAGGTCTTACCTTTCAACGTGTGGACGATAGGAAGTGAAAATCGATCATCCGGCCTTGCGGTTCGACCACCGGTTAGCACATTGGTCGATTGACATTGAGGTTATTTAAAAACAATTACTGTCATGTATTAAAGAAAAAATCAGGAATAGTAAGCCGTAGTCGAATGGAACCTGAAAAACCGAACGTTTCGTCTGCTACTGCGGCAGATACCATCGATGGCACTCATATTAACACTAAGTTGAACGAAAATCACTTTTTACCTATCAGTTTATATAGTAAGTAAACATTCGTCATGCAATTGAAACAGATATCATTCATAGAATGAAAGTTGAAAATATTTCGATCATTGTACAGTTTCCCGTTGAAAATTGAAACAAGGTAGATACATTCTAAAGATCATGCATAATTTGAAAGTGGTCCAGATAAATTGTTTTTGTTATTTTAAAAAGTATTTGAAATATCTGAAATTATAATCCAATCCCAAGTAACAATTTGAACAATTTGGCTAGAAATTGCGAAATTGTAAAAGTAAATTTATGTTGCAAAAATTAAAAAATATTGCATTGTCTTTTCACACAAAATATTAAAATTATATCCGAGATTTCCGTTAAATTCTAGGCATTTATTAACTCTCTTCATCAAATTGTTATTTACAGCACAACTGATTTCATCGGCATCTAGGGCGTTGAATGCTTGTGAAACTTTTTTAACAATATTATCCTTACTAATTGCAGTATCTCCATATACAATATTTTTAATATGTCCCCATATATAATAGTCCATAGTAGATAGATCGGGGAAACATGATGGCCAAAAAAAAGGGCCCACCAATTATAAAATAGTTGGTCGAGTAATACGCTTACGGTCTTGCAATTCTGAGATGGTGCTCCATCCTGTTGGTATCAAATATTTTTTGCATCTTCAATTAATACATTATTCACTGCACACTCACAACATTTTGTAGTATTTTAAAGTATCCTTTACCATTCAAATTTTCAACATACATGTACGAATATAGAATCCTATTGTACTTTATAGCACAATAAATGTTGAAACTCCTGGGAAATATCAGTCACGGGTAAGGTGTGGCCAAAAATGAGTATCATGATTGAATAATCCATTTTTTGTACACTTAGCTTCACCACTTCATATAATCTTATTAAGAAAATGTAAAGCTTCTTGATTTGTCATCACCAACCATTCTCAAAACTCAATCCATCTGAGACTTTCGTTTTTTTTTTCAACAGCCTCTTTACTGTAGGTATTAAGTGTATACTCTTATAGAGGAAAATTAAACAAGGAATACTAATAAATGAATAAGCACATATGTCAGTTAATTTCAGTTTTTTCTATTATTAAAAAAAACTTCATTTTGTTCTTAACAACTTTTGTTGATATAGAAATTAATGCAAGTATGTGGTATATGGAGTAATTTATTAAAAATGTCAACACCATTGAAATAACTTTATTTTGAATTTAAATGTTTACCATTCTAATTATCATAACTTTCATTATTGTATTCTGTATTGTTGTTACTTTCATTACTCGAATCGTATTCATCATCGGTAGTAGATTCTGAAGTAGTGTTAGTTTTTCATTGACTTTACATATTTGTTACTTCGGTTCATAAAACAAACACTAGTTTCCTGTTTTCAGAAATGCATTTGACATTGAAAATAATTTTCAGTTGAACAACGTTTATGTATGTAAATTTCATTTATTTTTCAGATTGATTACACTTCAGAGACCGAGAAACCTGCAACAACGACCTCAGAAGCAACCACTCCCATAGAAACAACTGAGGCAACAACTACAACTATGCCACCACCCCCACCCCCGCCACCAACAACAACTACAACAACATCAACAACTACTAGCACCACCACTACTACAACCGAACTACCAACAACTCAAACTGAAACTACATCAACGACAGAAATATTGACCACTCAAAAATCCACAGCTTCAATAAGAGATTTCACAGAAATTGAAAATCAGAGAAACTTCAATCCATTCATAGAAAATAGATTGCAGCAGATGTCGGTGATTGCAGGAAAAGTATTCAGATTCGTTATTCCACATAACACTTTCAAAGATTTTGAAGATGAATACAACTTGACTTATCAGCTATTGGATTCTAATAATAGGACTGTAACTAACAATAGCTGGCTATATTTCAACCCATCACGTAGAGAAATTTATGGATTGTGAGTATCGATTAAGTTATTCTTATTGTATGATTAAATGAAACCATCGCTTTTTTTTAATGATAAGTTTTATTCAGTTGTACACATCGAAGTAATTACAAAAATGCATCTAATCAAGTAAAACTAAATATGGCAAGTATGTAAGGCTGAACATTATAACATTATTACTGACTGAAAAAGCCGTCAAATATACTTTGTCTTATACCTATATTAATTAGCAATTGAAGAGTTAAACTTTTAATGATTCTGAGTGCCAGTTTCAGAATTTTTAAGATTTTGTTTCTAAATAGGGTCTTGTGCCATTGCCAATGTGCTTGCAAACATGCTAAAAACTATTAAGAAATATTACTTTCTAGATAGCAGCAGTTGTATCGTTCAGACTTGATAAACGTTTGAACAGTCTATATATAAATCTAATATATAGTGCAGTAGTAACAATTACAATATGTTGAAAACTGATAAAATACGTACTCAAAAAATTAAAAAAATATGTTTTTCCGTTAACCAGCTGCCGCACCCCTACGAACGACAACCCTTAGAAGTCGAAACTTGTGCGAGCTAAGGATTAACAAGGTCTTACCTTTTAATGTGTGATTCCTAACACGGGTTGGACGATAGCAAGTGAAGATCGATCGTTCAGACTAGGGCTTGAACCACCGACCAACACGGCAGTCAATTCGAGTGAGTGAACAAAGCACCCACGCCGAACCACTTGGCTACCGACCGACCGACAATGGATAGATTCAGTTTAATAAAGTCAGAAGAAATAACATACATAAAAATCTTTAAAATAACAATTTATGCCTCACAATGAACAGATATAGATGATGTCTTCATAGAACCAGAACCTGTTATTGGCATTGCTTTAGATTTTGCCAAACAAACATTGCACACCTGGATGGCAAGAAGATGTGAAGACTTCTGTTATTGGACTACAGTAGTGATGATCTTCCATGACTAAGAGGCCTCCTTACAGTTCACTGTCGTCTGAATCATCATATGCAGAGAGACTCAGAATGTCAGAAGACAGTGTGTGCCGCCTCTGTTTGGAACATGATGAAACAGCAGAGCATATACTTTGTGCCTGCCCCGCTGCGCACCGAATTAGGTTTTCAGAGTTTGGTAGAACCACACTTTTACCATCTGACCTGAAAGATCACTCACCATATAAACTAATCGGCTGAAACTCGGTTGACAAGTCAAGAAGAGTACTCCGACCACGCCACTGAAGAGGAAGTTGCGGTCGAAACGTTTGGAAATTATAACCAAAGAAGACCACGGCAACACCCGGAAACCATCCAAAACATTGACGCCAGCCGTTAAAGCCTACATTCCTATATTAATCGGCTTCGTCAGGAAGCTGGGTTCATTTGGTCGAGTTTGAATATATGTGAGCCACAATAAACCAATACGGGTTGTGGTGGAGGATCGAATAGGCCCCCTCACTTTTGACCTAACCTAAATAGCATTTGGGACCTCCGGCATGAAATGAATCTATTGAAAATACTTTTCCCTCGCCAGAACAAAAACGCTGTCTCTCAACGCGCGATGATACTAACTTGGTTAGCGAAACGCGCGTCAAGAGGCAAGATTTTGTTCTAGTTTTCGCGATTCGGTAACCAAGGTAGTATCATCTCCTGATGATACTACCTTGGTTACGCAAAATACGCATCAGGACGCAGCATTTTTGTATTGATGATTGAAAAGTGTTTTCAATAGATATTAATGAATTTCAAACATCCCGACCTCTGCTGATATATCATCTATATAAATCAGGAAGAGTAAGAGACCGAGAACAATACGAGGACTGTCCAAAAAATGAGGTTAATTTTAATTTTTCTCAAAAATATTAATTTACCCCTCATATTAAATACCCTTGTGCCAGCGTTTTTTTCAAACTTCGAGGCAGGTCTGATATGCACTTTTCAGTATGTCCTTGAGCTCTCTTAGTAATTCTGTTTTATCTCCTCAATCGTCGCGAAACGCTGTCCTTTCATGGATCTCTTCAATTTTATTTGGAACAGTAAAAACTCGCAGGGAGGCAAATCTGAGGAATACGGTGGCTGAGGCATGATTACGATGTTGTTTTTGACCAATACCTTTCGAACAAGCAATGACGAATGAGCAGGTGCATTATCGTGATGCAAAAGCCATGAATTGTTTTTCCAGGATACCGAACATTTTTTTCGTATTGCTTCTCGCAAGCGGGGCATAACTTCAAGATAATACTCCTTGTTGACCGTACGACTATGTAGCAAGAACTCCTGATGTACTACGCCACGGTACTCGAAGAAAAGAGTGAGCAAAACCTTAGAATTTGATCGAATTTATGCCTCAAATATAATATTTACTTAAAACTTCGGGTATATCACAAATATCTTTGATAAAATCTTGTTCAGAAATCTAAAATTTTATTTCAATCACACGTCTTTACTTTCTTCTTTTTCACATTTTAGGTGCATCTTTATCCAAAATAACAAGCCTTATCTGAAAGTATCTATATTTTCTCACAACATCTACCAATCATGGCATTAGCAAGCCTTAGCTCGCACAAGTGTCGACTTCTGAGTGTTGTCATCCGTAGGGAGGATGACAACCCTTGCACATTACAAGGAAAATCAATTTGAGCAAATAAATATTTTCACAGACAGACAGGATGCACTTGGGACACTTTCGAACCCAAAAGTGACATAAAGACTGGTTTGGGAATTCCGTGAAGAACTGAGGAAACTGGCGGACAGTAATAGACTGACTATATACTGGGTACCAGGACACTGAGGCAATGCCAAAACCTGATGAGTAATCCAGTAATGGATCATCAACTCCATATATAGGACCTGACCTAGCTATGGGGGTACCAAAGTCTTTAGCACGGAACCATATTAGAAAATGAAGCTTCAAGAAACAGAGTACTGGGAAAACATAGAGAGTATATAGAAAAACCTTATGTAATAATAATAATAATGAATGGCTTTTATTTTTATCTTGACGGAGTTTAGCTTACGCTATTCTACCACTCAATAAAGGTAGAACCCGAAACAAGAACTGAAAAATCGCTTCAACAAAGCAGGGATTGGCTCAGAACAACGACTGAGTTGCTATTCACTGAACACTGTCCATTGGGAGGACACCTGAACAAAATAGCGCTGTAAAACGAAAACGTCAACTGCAGGAAATGCAAATGGGCAACCCAAATTATGTACAGAAGAATATAATTTACATCCAGCATGAAACCTGTACAAACTAGTACAGATTACAAGATTATTGGAATGGTTGTCATGAAAAAGATGGGGAAAAACGCAATAAGCCCATGAGGCTGCAATGTTTTCCGGAGACTTGGAAGAAATGGAATGAGGTCAGACGGCTCCCAAGTAGTTGAAAAAGAAAAGTGATCTGTTATTGTGAGAATATATGTGTGAAAAAGTCAAGGAACGCATCCCAAGATATTTTTTATATTTTATAACATTCCGGAGGTAGCTTCAAAGAATATCAAAGAAAGGATAGAGAGTGATGAATCGCAATTTCAAGAAATCATTCAAATACCTCACACCGATCCTAATCATAGTTTTTTCAGTGTTGGGCGGTAGTTGATACTAGATGACGCCCAAGCCCACCAGGCGTGGGCGTGACACAGTGAAGGAGTTTCTCAAGTTCAAGAGAAAAATTCTACATATTGTAATAGATTCAGCAACAATCAAACGAAAATGCATTAAGATCTTTTCAGAAATGCCAAAAACGGAATTGAAAAGCCAAAATGAAAACGTAGAAATCAATATTGGAATTAGATTCCATACTGGGGTTCCCAAAATCGACAAACTGAGTTTCAGAACTTTTATGATTTTTGTATTACTGAATGGAAGTTGTTCCCTTCACAACCATCTGAAAACATGAATAATAACAAATCCAAAGAAACAAACAGAAATATACTTATAACAGAAATGTACTAATATACTTGCCTGCTTTCAAGGTTATTCTTGCAGGGGTGCGAGGTGCGATATGATTATCCTTTATGAAAGGATATTAAGATTTCAAAATATTTTTTTAAGTACTCCTAGAGGTAAACATCGTCAAACTTTTATAATCTATAAGTGATCATTAAATGTGTGAGCTTGAGCTATAATGAAAGGAATAAATTGCATGAGAGAGTATGTCTGATGACCAATAACATCTTTCTTTTTAAATATATGCGTGCCTCCTACATGAATAAATTGCAGTTTGCTTATTTGAATAATTTTGAAACTACTCGTAAACTTTATATCTGATACCAACCTGAAAATATATTTTTAAGGTACCTACAATAAAAATTTTATGAAATTATATTTTTCAGGCCTTTGGAAGAGGATGTATCAAAGTGGGTGTTTTGGGTTAAGGCCTTCGATAGAGAAGGTGGATCAGAGCAAGAAAAACTCAATATCCAGGTCCAACAACATAAACTCGATTTGGTAGTCAACCACGAATTTTCTGTTTATATCAGAATAGAAAAACACCAAGAATTTTCTCATTACGTTGATTGGTCTTTGAGAGTTTTGAGAGCTCTGGGAAAGATTTTCAATACAAATATGTCAGAAATCACTGTGAGGCGAATCAATTATACCAACGAGCCAGTTACCTTTACTTGGTCTAATGATTCCATACCAACGAATTACTGCGCTAAGAATGAAATAGAGGAACTTTTCAAGGTGAGACAATAAAATGTATTCGGAGCTGTATATTTTGAAAGTTTATTCCTGTTTCGTGTTCACTCAGACATATTGAAATATTGATTTGTTATTTTGTTTTCAGACTTTGACAGCCAACGATAGAGGAGATCCTTCTAGAGAGTTGAATCATGCACTTGCGCCTGAACTGAGAGTCAAGAAAGTTACTTTCCGAGAGCTGGGAGTTTGCGAGCAACCAATGACACCAGTCACACCTCCTATGAATTTCTCTCCAATTTTGAGAAACCCTGTAGATCATGTGAATGCTACTGTTGGAGAACTACTAGTGTACAAAGTAAAAGATGTAAGTATTTCATATAATATGATAGAACTGACCGATATTTATAACGTATTCAAAAAACACACTTCAATGCGAGATTTACACTTGAAACAAGTGAAAATCTCATTAAAGTGTGTTTTTTGAATGCAGTATTTTATATTTTCAAAGTATTATTTAGATAAATATTGATATTTTTTGATAGACATTTTTTTTCGAAGGAGTCAAAGTTTCTAATCAACCAGAAAAGTTTGGCTTGAAAAGTAAAGATCAATCCTTCAGAACATGTAGTATTTATAAATTTTGGACGTTTCAGAATGCTCGCCCTGTCAATTCTCAAAACTGATTTTTTTAAACGGTAAAGGGCTTTCCGAAACAAGGGCATTTACAAAAAATATCCAAGTATACAGGGTGTATCTTGGGCATATAATGATGTCAAAATTATCAGTTAAATGTTCACGAGTGGTTACACGAAGTGAGCAGGTGCCCTGATGTGTGTAAAACTCATATTTCGTCTTAGTTACAAAGATCCTCTAACAATGTTGGCAACATGTCTTCTAGAAATTGTCTAAACGTTACATAATTGAGTCGTGGAGGAAGAAAATGTAGAAAATGCGGAACCGATCACCAAAAATTTCCGCTCAGACTTTCACCGAAGGTATCTCTGCTAGGATACGTTTTTGTCGATAGTTATATACCTACTGGTAATCCAATAGGCCACTATTCTCAATCAACTGTTGAATTCAGAAAAAAACTGTTTATATGACTGTCACTTTATATTTTAGGATACATTCTATGATCCCGAAGATGTTGATCCCAGAATGCTCAACATATCATTACTAACTGGAGACAGACAGCCAATACCTCCTGATAATTGGTTACAATTTGACAATAAAAATAGGGAATTTTTTGGTATACCACGAAAGGTTGGCCGCAGTGAATATCAACTCATTTGTGTCGATAGTGGTGGACTTCCAGCTACTGATAGTTTGGAAGTGTTCGTTTATCCTGCTGCAAAAACACCTTATAATGTAGAATTTAGTATGACTATCAATGAATTGCCGCATGAGACGTTCATCAATAGTGCTTCATTGCAGAAAAAATTTGTTGAAAAATTAGTGGTAAGTACCGCTTTGTTCGAACATTACATACCTATATTTAGCGATATATATTTATTTCCAATTCTGAAGGAAAAGACAGGTTTTTACTTTTTCTTATAGTCAAAATATATAAAACACGACTCGCTACTGATAAACAGAACATTTTTCTTTGTAAAAAGTATTTCGAATCTACGCAATAATTTATCAGAATAATAATAATAATAATTGCTTTTATTGACAAAATCCAGTACAACATATAGTAGGTATAAAAAAAACAGGCAGTTCTTAAATGATATCCTACATTTTTGTCAAAAGGCAGAATTCAGGTTCTGATCTTGTCATTTGAGTAACGCAATCAGAACTTG